GACGGGAAACCCAGACCAGCAACACTTCATTCACAAGGTATCTTGGCAAATAGCCACGACGTCCAAGAGTAAAGGAGGGTTGGGCCTTATAGACCCAGCTCGACAAATCCAGGCCCTGCTAATCAAATGGATACTAAGGCTAACCCTCCAAAGCAATCTACAATGGATACCCTTAGCCCTCAACCACATCAAAGAGCTCGCACCCTACAAATCCCCACATAACATGTCGGGCCTTTTCTGGATATTTAACAAATGGTGGTCCCTTCCAAGAACCAAAAAAGCACACGACCCCCAACGAGACTCAGAGGAAGACCCAGAAAACGAATCCTCCAAAACCTTTTGGGAAAATCTGTTACGCATCTGGAGAAAAATCTTCCCGGAAAACAAAATCGGCCCGCAAAGGAGGGATGAGGTCCTAAGGGTGCCTATCTTCGGCAACTCCTGGATCAAGGACGACAAAGGAGAAAGCCTTTCTCTTACGAAGGCCGAAATCAAATGGGGTAACTGGCTCGAAAAAGGTATATGGCAAATCCAACACCTATGGAATGAACACACGAATAATTGGAAGGCGGAAAAAGAACTCAGAACAACCCTAAAAGGATGTGACAACCTACAAACCAACATATCAATAATCATCGAAAGCATTCCATTTGAATGGCACAGGCTACTAAGATCAGACCACATGTGGCTAGCAGGGGATTGGGTTAGCCAAAAGGACCAAACAAACACACAAGAAATCCTAAGAATCATAAGCAGCGAAATACTCAATAATGAATGGATAACCTGCAATATCTTCACCTTAGAAGAACCAAGCAACCCAATAAGCTTCTTGAGCAAACAACGTAGAGCAGAAGGACCATTCAAAGTAAGCAACCTGATCAAAATTAGAGTAATAGAAGGTGACCGGAACAGGGTATTTAGGCCCGACTCAAGCATCCAACAACTAGAAGTTGATCCCACCGAATGGTCATGGGGCTCGCCAGGCGAAGATTCCACAATTATACACAGATACAAACTAACCGAATACACCCCAAGACTAGGCTACAAATTGTTCTCCTCACCTATTCCTACTTCGGCCATCATTACTTAAAAGATGGCAAAAACATGAAAACTCCCTCACCAACACACCTTTTCAACCTTCCTGGTCATCAATCTTCTGCACTAGGCCAGCCAAGTTAGCCAGCCTGCTCTGGCTCATAACCTATAGAGCAGTCCCAGTGAACCATTGGTTAGCGCAAAGAAGAAGGAAGGAAGACAGATCAGAGCAGGAATTATGGTGTGAAGTTTGCAACTCCCAAACCATATAAACACTCAATCACTGTTTCCTAGAATGCGAGAAAGCCCAAATCCTATGGAATGAAGTAGAACTATTGTGGAGCAAGCTCTCCAGTAAAATAGTACAAATTAGCCCTGGGACCCTCTTCCTAGACTTAGAACAAACACCGCCCTTCAAGGGTTTCGACTACTTCTTCTTCTCTCTAATCAGAAAAGCAACTCTTTGGGCGATTTGGAGAAGAAGATGCGTCCTAACCTTTGAAGACCTCCCTACTACGCCAGAAAATCCCCTCACCCTCATTAAATAGTTCATCGAGACGGAAATCCACGTCCACTGGAAAAAAACACCGACCCAAATCCAAAACACCCCAGATAATAAGCCTGTGAGTATTAAAAAATTTTAAAACATCAAAGTCGTTCAAATGAATTTAGCACAAAATGTGAGGCTTTACTCTCGAGGAGGACATAATGTGCCAAAAAGAAAAGCTAACTGGAGTGTCGTACGGCAGCCCAGCATCGCCCTTCTGCCTCATCCACTCAGGCGACGATATACTCAGTCCATCTCTCTTAAATAGCTGATCTCCCAGTGCTACTACACTCGTGCCCAAAAATCTTAGTCCAAACTCAAGGTCACACCCCGTCATCCTCACTCCCCGATCACCTTAAACCATCCATTAGAAAACTGAAGACGTCGATGCCGATCTAAAATTACCGGTATACCCGTTGTCCGCATCGTACCACTGCGCCTGAAATCCGTCGCAAATCGTAATCCTTGTGGCTGATTTAGTTCCTGCTGGTTGATATCAATCGTAGGAATCACCTCGGTATCTGTACCACTTGTACGATACTCTTACACAGGGAGTCCCTGAAATTTAGCACCCGCGTTTGTCAGATCAACCGTGTCGTGCGACTTAGTGCCAGTTCACTCGCAGTCCGTGCAGCCAGTTTGATGCCGCTTTTTTGTTCAATTTTGTCCTACGAATTGCGAGTACCGCATTCCTCAATGTTGTAATAGGGTACCCCTTATAACTTCCACTGTGTCAGCCTGTTTTGACGTGTTGGTCAATATCCAATGTAGTGTGCCTAATATCACAATTTCCTTTGATTTCTTCGGACCAAAACTCTCGAAGTGCTTAATCGTATGGAATCTCCCAAAAAGCCCCGCCTAGAGTGTTTGGTGATTTTTCAAACGATGTAAGCACTTCAGTAGGGGCCCTTTCTCTTGCTTACAGATTGTGGTCTCAAGATACTTTTTCTCCGAATCAGCAACTTGCGATGTGGCTTCCAACTTCAACGAGTTGTGATAGCACATTTGAAAACTCTGTATGAGATTACAAGCTGATAAATTATTCTCCTTGCTACATATAGCAGCCAAAAAGACATCATCAACAAATCTCAGTCCAGAAATGAACCTCTCATCACATCCCAGTGATTTCATCCAATGTGTTTCATCAAAGTTGCAAACCAAGTTAGCAATGGGGGGACTAGATCCTTTTCCCATTGGGATCCTGGTGTCTGCTTTACTAGAATTCCTTGTACTAGAAAAAATGCATGTGTGATATCGAACTGCAATAGTCGAGGAAGATCAACTATCTTGATAGTCTTCCGACCCCATATGCCGTTCGCTTTTCCCAACCCAATCTTCTTTCCTTGCATCTTGATATTTATATGTGTATGTCCCATTTGTAGGTGATGACAACAAGCCAATCCATAGCTTTAAGAATGTGGTCGTGGTCCAGACATGTAAACATGTCCTTCACATCGAACGTCGCACATAAGATATTAGCCTGATTCCCAAACAACTCTCTTGTTTTTTCGTTTATCCTGCCAATCCTTGGTACAAATTCGTTCGTGCCCATCATGCCAAATCCTTGATTCAGTGTTCTCATCAGAAAATTAACACAACGTGACAAAATTTTTGATGATGTCAGAGAAGGTTCCTGAAAGGTGCGAACAATTGGTCGCCTCTTCAGGACGTCCTTGTCCTTAGGCATTACATAGGCATGTCCATAATTGCCTTGCTGATTCCATTTCGCAAACTTCGTTAATCCTTTCTCTTTATATCCCAGTTGGCTTCTGTCAAGCACATCTCGTACTGTGTTGTTAATTACCTGGTAATTGCTTACCTCAAAAAACATCTTGTTCATCCGGTCCCAAAATAATTGCGGACATTCGACGTATGTTTCCCTTGGGTTGCGATCCAGAGGTGAACATACGAGTGCTCTCAGTTTCGATTTCCATTTCAACACAGTCTTCATATCCAAGCCAAAGTCACTCACCACATGCTGGTTCAGACAGTGATCAACATTCGAAGGAAGGACAACTCTGTTACAGTATTTTTGAGGTAGAGATGGCAGTACTGTAGTGATATTCCTGGTTATCACTTGTTTACTCTCCTCACCCTGGATGTACGAAACGTTCTTTGCGTTACAAAGCAATTTATCCATTGTAACGTCAGAGAGACGAAAAGACACATGAGACTCAATCTTCGTAAGGTTTGATAGGGCGCACGGGCAAGGAGGTCTATCAGCGATCATCCTCCGATGATTGTGAAGGATTTCGCCGACCGTCTTAGCGCTTGAAAACATGACTCTAACCCAACATGTAATCATAGCAGCCAAGGCCTTATGCGTAACAGTCTTCAAAATTAATGAGCGGAACGTTTTTTTAACTTCAATTAAATTGATGTCTGGTGAGAAAGGAAGTCGTAAGCATACTCGCCTTCGAATGTTCACCTTAATTTTTTTGCTCGCCGTCCTGGACAAGCATCCTCGCAGTATACCCCTACTCTTCTTGGATGTGATCCGGCGCATTCCTGAGTACAATCCAATGAGCCTCGTAAGAGAGTAGGTATACAAATTGGATCTAGTCCAAGGCGCACAAAGTAATGAGATTAGCACACTCTTCAATCTCATGATAGAGGTAAGATTCTCGACGCAACATGATACCACCACTTTGCATCCAATCTCCAGCCTGCTACAACAGTCCTTCAGTAGGAGTTTATCCTTGTCGATAATAACCACGAAATCTCCAAAACGCCTTTTTACCACTTTCCATCTCTCAACCCAAAGACTACCTCTGTATGATTCGAAGGTAGTTTTTGGTTTGATGAGACTCTTGAGTTGTGTCGTGCTTTCATCCTGAGAAGCAAACAAAACAGGAACGTCAGGTGAGATATTCGACGGTATTCTGCAGTTAGATTCTTTAGGATTCATGCGTATCCGTCTTCTTTTAACCTTCTTCCTCCTGTAGTGAGTATTTAGATAGGGATTCCATTTTTGTATCAGCTTCCTTTCAACTTGTGCCACGTTCTCTCCACTACCAACCCATACAGGAATACATACATATTTATGCACCCCATATTTCGCAACCCACGAATACAACTTCCTGTGCTGTTTTTTCTCCTTCCGTAGTACGGTTGACACATGTTCTTTCCAACGTCGATCCAATCCTCTGACTGTCTTGCCTATATAGAAATGTCTGCACCATGGTGAGATCCAGACATAGACACAAACCTGCACCGTCAGTAAGAGTTCCCAGTCTGCGTTACCGTTGTTGATGAGCGAATGGATACGAGTTCCCCATCTGATCTCTCCCTGCATCAGTAGAGTCAAAACCGCAATTCTGAGAGCCCTATTAACCATTGCGCAGTCCTTCCAGTTTCGGTCAGTGATCAGCTGGTTGATCTGGGCACTACATTGACTGACGAGACACCACCTAGTTGCGGGTTGTAAGCTTGTGAAGCTCGACTCAAGACGCTAGTGCGCACTTGGCTGTACATCCTTCGATGCCTCGGGTCCTTCAAAGTACTCAGCCTCCTCAGAGGAGTCATCATCCTCTTCTTCTGATTCGGATTCAACTGATTGTGCATCCTCCATATTTGCTCCCTGAACCTCTTCACCAGTAGCGGATCGGTTTGGCAGATCCTCAGTATCGGAGACGATAAGGCCGGGTATCTTCCTTAATGCCACACGTGCTTGTGGCATCCCTCTGTACCGAACGTTATGCATCGAGCATAGTTGCTTCAGATCTTCCATCTGTAGGGCCGCCATCATATCTTCCGAGATCTGCTTCCCTTGAAGTATCCTCCTGCGAGCTTTTGTACGAGCGGCGCTCTTTCGTGGATCGTTTCCACGCACTGGCTTCTTCCGGCTAATGCAGCTGGGTCCAACACCGATAGGATTCGGAGTAGACCTCTTCGTAGGAGTCTTGCCATTGGTCATCATCTGACGCGGTGATACGAACTGCCTAGCCGTGGGTGTCTTTAGGTTCGAAATCGATCCTTTTAGGGACGCGATATCGTACCTGATACCTCGCATGTCCTCAAGTTGCTTCTTGAGAACCGCCATATCCGATGCCATCTTAGTGACATCAGTCTTTGTGGTCTTCACCTTGCTGCCTTGCTGCGAGCTTGCTTCACCCTTCTTCTCAGCTTATATCGTAATAGCGTTCTCGATCGTCTGCTTCAACTTCCCGGCAGGGTCACGATCAATGCGCCTCTCCGTCTCCGCCTTGATTATGTCCGCAATCTTGTCCACGTGTTTCTGTAGTCTGTCAAGCTCTCGCCGCAACGCATACAACTCATCACGGAGTTCGACCGTGAACCACGCCCTGTTTCAAGGTGCAGGTTTGTTGTATGGAAACTCATAACGCCTCTCCTCTCTGTCACGCGAATCGCTCCTTACCCTCCTCCTACTGGTAATTGAATCAGATCTGGATCGACGCCGATCCCGTCTCCTCTTGTCATCATGGTCTTTCTCCGAAGATCTATCCGATCTCCATGCCGGTGATCTCCCACGCCTAACATCGTCCCTTCTCCTCCTCCGGTCCGGTGACCTCGACCTCGAATGTGATCTCGATCTCCCCATGTCCTTCGGCACTTGATGTAGCCCTGTGCTCGTGAGTACCACTCCAGATGCGCAACCCCAGTTACACGCTAAAAGACAATCGTAGATAACGAATCGCTCCTACAAGCAACAACTATGGTAAGATGTATCGCGAAATCGTGAGAACAACTTAACGATTAAAATAAATGCAAACTCCCTGTCCAAATTAACAACTGATAATCCAAACGTCCTCACCGAAGAAAAAACGAAAACCGTAAAAGGTCAGCATTCAAAAGGTCCCTGTGGTCTGCAAGTCAGGATAAAGAGGCAGCCACTTGATATACCACGCCAAGAACCAATACTGAAATCATCGAAAAGAAAAACTTCAACGCCCACGCTGGTAAGAGCGAGTCTGAATTCAATCAAACACCATAATCATAGTGATGTAACTTCAACAACAACCCGAATCCGTACGAAAAAAAGTCAAACTCCGCAATTGCCAAAGGACGTAAGCGCTCCCCGGTTCTTCGCGCATCCGTTGTTGTACTCATACCTGCACTAGAGAGAGACACAACAAAAAACCCTTTCCATCGACGTGTCGACGGAAGGTTAGCCCATAGACCAACACGGGTATAATTTCCCGTATGCTCACATGGGCTGCATGAAAAGTCGTTCAAATGAATTTAGCACAAAATGTGAGGCTTTACTCTCGAGGAGGACATAATGTGCCAAAAAGAAAAGATAACTGGAGTGTCATACGGCAGCCCAGCATCGCCCTTCTGCCTCGTCCACTCAGGCGACGATATACTTAGTCCATCTCTCTTAAATAGCTGATCTCCCAGTACTACTACACTCGTGCCCAAAAATCTTAGTCCAAACTCAAGGTCACACCACGTCATCCTCACTCCCCGATCACCTTAAACCATCCGTTAGAAAACTGAAGATGTCGATCCCGATCTGAAATTACCGGTATACCCGTTGTCCGCATCGTACCACTGCGCCTGAAATCCGTTGCAAATCGTAATCCGTGTGGCTGATTTAGTTCCTGCTGGTTGAGTCAGTCGTAGGAATCACCTCGGTATCTGTACCACTTGTACGATACTCTTACATAGGGAGTCCCTGAAATTTAGCACCCGCGTTTGTCGGATCAACCGTATCGTGCGACTTAGTGCCAGTTCACTCGCAGTCCGTGCAGCCAGTTTGATGTTGCTTTTTTGTTCAATTTTGTCCTACGAATTGCGAGTACCGCATTCCTCAATGTTGTAATAGGGTACCCCAACTGGCGGGCCTCGGTAAAGAACCATTTTATAACCTCCACTGTGTCAGCCTGTTTTGACGTGTTGGTCAATATCCGATGTAGTGTGCCTAAAATCACAATTTCCTTTGATTTCTTCGGATCAAAACTTGGAGGAGGAAAACTAGGCTCGATAACGGGAAATAGATTAACCTTGAAAGACTGGTTTACCCCAACCCAACACAACAACCAGGGGCCAAAGAATCCTCTACAACCACCCCGATACCCAACTGAAGACCACTATAATAATAGACTAGTAGACAGTCTAGATACAAACATCTAACTTGTGATGACGCGTCCAAACATGGACTGAAACACACAACTGATTTCTGAGTTTTGTCCATAGGCCCTGCTGAGTTTCCCGCTTGCTACTAAGTGTGTGTGTGCATGCTTGCTGGACTGCATGTCTGTCTGAGTGCTGGTTGGCTTGAGTGTAAGCGTGGCTGTGCCTGTCTGAGTGCCGATTGGCTTGAGTTTGTGTGTGTGGCCCTGCCTGTCTGAGTGCTGGTTGGCTTGAATGTGTGTGTGGCCCGCAAGGGCACTTGCTCGTTCATTGGGCCCTCAGGGCCGATACTTACCTATGGCCGTGACATTGAGGGATTGCAGCAGGAAAAACACTCAAGGAGCGGGTAGGTCGGTACCGCACCCTGAAGGGGTAGATGTGCGGGTACTGGAGGACAAGCAGAAGAAGACAAAAGTGGCATTTTTAGAGGCCCAGTAGTTGTAGGTTAGGTCTAGGCGGATACCAGTTCAACCAGTCTGGGTCTAGGGCCTGTACGGGCAATATCAGAGTTTGCAATGATGTTTCGCTCCGAAAGGGAGGAGGTACCGGTTGCTTGGAAGGCCGAGCGGCCTGGAATCACCGCCCGAAGAGGCAAGCAGGCCGCTATATCTCCCAGCCGGGCGAAGAGCCCGACCTCATTCTCGGTGCAAGTTTGGCGACACACTGGTTGGAGCGCCGGTTGGAGCAGCGCTATCCGGAGCAGCGCTGCTGGGGGAAGGAGAAGGACACAGAGGAGGAAGAAGGACAGAAAGGGGGAGGAGCGCCAGGGGTACTTACCTGGCTATGGTGGCAGCCATCTTCATCACCTTGGTGGCCGCTGCAGCAGGGAGTCCCCAACTGGGGAGAGCTACACCAAGAACCTTCGAGGCAGGGTCGGGCATGGCGGCCTGAGCTAGAGCAGCCATAGCTGCTTTGGGTTGTCCTTTGGGCATCTGGGCAAGGTCTAGTAGTCCGCCATAGCCTCGGCCTATGAGAGTGAAGAGTGGGAGAGGCGGTCATGGCTATGGTGGACCTCAAGTGATACCTGCAGTAGAAGGGGAACTCGGACATTGATTCTGGATCAGCCATTCAACATTGTATTATTATTTCTTGTTGAATAAGAGAAGGGGGAGATAAGGAGGAGGAGATTGTTGGGCGAAGAAGAAGAGCCTGGTCATTTGTCTATGCTGGTGTACATCATCTTCTTCTTCTTTCTTACTTTTCTAATCCTCTTCCTCCTCTCAAGTTCATTCATTTCTTTCTGCAATTGGGTGGCAATGTCCGTGGCATTGTACTATCTGATGGATGTGTATCTCAAAATTGGCCAGGATCATAACAAACTAGTCCTCGGAGCAACAACCAATAACTAAATTTAGAGAGAGCAAACTGACCCTATGTAAAACAGAGACCAAAAAAAAAAAAAAAAAAACAAAAAAAAAACTAGTCCTCGGAGCAACAACCAATAACTAAATTTAGAGAGAGCAA